CCTATATTCCTGTTGGTCATTTGTACTTGTTTTTTGGAGAATTGTCTCTACATCCTTATCCTGTTTATTAACTGTATTTTTTGGTTAAAGAGTCTTTTGTCTTCTTTGTGTATATTATATATTAATTGCTTCTTACATGCCGAAACACATATTGACGGAATTATTGGAATAAGCACATCTGCATGTGCTTAATTGCGCTTTGCAGATGCAGATATTGCTCCCCGACACCCGCTTTTCTACAAAGTCCATGTTTTTGGCAACCCTGTGTTCAGCAGGTTTAGTGCCACCATGTTTCTAGCAAGCTCAGATGCTTGTTACTTGTGCTTAGCAATAAAGTATTTTTAATGAAGTTATATCGAGTTTGGTTTTCAGACAAGTCATTGCATTATTATTAGCCTGCAGAGTAGTATTCACGTACCTTTATTATTCACTGGGAACTCCAACTATTTGTGTGAATTTCTGTCTATATTGCAATGTTCTCTTTATTGTGCTGAGCAGAACCGAATCCACAATCTCTCCGAGCGATTCCTTCATATGATTTGCAAGTATTTTCTCCTGTTCTCTAGATTGCCTTTCATTTCATTTTATTTATTGCTGTTGTGCTGTGAAGAAGCTTTTTTTCTTTATTAGTTGCAGTCTGGCCTGTTTATTTTTTCTATTTTGCCTGGGGGTTCTTGTCACATCCAGAAACTCCTGTCCAAAACAAACCTCCAAAACTTTTTCTCTAGGTTGTCCTGAGGAGTTTTAAGTTTTAGCACTCACATTGAATTCTGTCCTGCAGGTTGAGTGAAATTTTATCAGTGCTGTCCAGTTTTATTGTTTTACATGTGAATGCCCATTTATACCAGCACCATTCATTGAAGAAACTATCTTTCCTTTCTCCTGTGGCTTGCAGCTTTGTCAAAGATTACTTGAAAGTATGTGCCTGGGTTTATTTCTATGTTTTCTGTTCTGTTCTATTAGTCTGTGTGTCTGTGTTTCTCCAGCAACACATTGTTTGCTTGTTTTCTTTTTGTAATAAATTGAAGTCAGGAAGTGATGCCACCTGGTTGATTCACGCTCAAGGTTGCTTTTGCTATTCAACATCTTTTCATTCCATACATTTCAAGATTCTCTTTTCATTTCTTTGTAAAATACCATTGGAGTCA